TTACACTTTACTACTTCTTCATCTACATCTGCAGCCTTTGAGATGATGGCGCAAGCTTTGTAGTAGTTTTTTATGAAATTTGAATTTCAAAATTTTCAGGCTGTATACAACGACTCTGATTGGCGACGATTTCCTTAGGGGATTGGGCAGCCTCAGGCAGCTTCAAATTTGTTTAACTGCTCTCCCTAAGGGGCTCTGTTTTATTCGAAAACGTAGTTGAAACGCTTTCCACTTTTCAACTTACGTTTAAAGCAGAAGCGTCAACTGAAATTTGAATTTCAAATTTTTCAGGCTGTATACAACGACTCTGATTGGCGACGATTTCCTTAGGGGATTGGGCAGCCTCAGGTAGCTTCAAATTTGTTTAATTGTTCTCCCTAAAGGGCTCTGTTTTATTCGAAAACGTAGTTGAAACGCTTTCCACTTTTCAATTTGCGTTTAAAGCAGAAGCGTCAACTGTTGGTTCAAGGTTTTGAATACGATTTTACTACTTTATCAGTAAGAAGAAGTTTTGACGTGTGTGTGATCTTCTACGTGAACTACAAGTGTGACACAAGGTAAGTTTGTGATTGCGATTCGTTTTTTATATGCTAGATTTGCTTTTTAACATTTTACTTCGCTTTTCTCTTTTAGATGCCTCCTGTTAGAAGATCACGACGATTAAGACATCAGGATGTCGAAGAAGACGGAGCGCCCTACGATTGCTTCATCTGTTTGACTTCAATTACTGTAAACATGTATAATGCTACAGCGACACCATGCTGTACAAGACGAGTTCACCGTGCATGTTACCAGCAACATGTCCATACATCGGCTGCATGTGGACACTGCCGACGACCATTTGCTGCCCAAGCCGCCATCGATCCAATAAGAAATCCACCGATAAACGAGGATTTGGCAAGGAGAGAAGCACAAAGACAACAGGCCATCCAAGATTTGGAAGCATTGCTTCAACCTGGAGGGCTCAAAGCCAGGATTCAACAGGTATGTGTTTTTTATTTTACGAATCGTTGTTTGCGTGAACATTTCAAAAAAAAAATTTTAAAAAACTAAGACAACCTTTTTTCTATTCATCTTTAGATGCATGACGTATTTGAAGCATCGTATTTTATCGTCCATCATGAGTTTATGAGCAATTATTTACTTCGTCTGATCACCAATATGCAGAATATTCTTACTAGACTGGATGTGGAACATGATTTGATTCGAATTGAAATTTGTAAACCTCCAGATTTTAACACGTATTTTGAACGCTATATCAATGAAATCGTTCCAGCTCATATACGCAGATTTTTTTTGACTCAACACTTTCCTTTCACTGAGTTTTTAGTAGCTTTTTTTCATCACATTAGAAGAGTACTATACCAGTTTTTTAGGTTTCAATTGCATTTCTCTGCGCATTCAAATCGTGATTCTATTCGTTATTGCCACTATATGTTTCGTGAACGTTTTAGATAATCATTTTTTTTTTTTGCTCGTTAAATTTTATTGACATGTAGGAGAGTCTGAATTTTATATGAGAGCTCATTTTTCTTTTTATTACGACATTTTACACAATAGTAATTCAATTAGACTTTTTTTAATGATTTCAGATTCCTACACATGATTACCTGTCAACTTTATGTTTGCTCTATGTGACTGATCAAGAAACAAATTTCATTCGAAATTCTTTAAGAGCTCTTTTTCAAGCTCTAAGAATTATAATAAATAGACTGGAATATTATGTGATTCTTATACAATTTTGTATGGAATTTCAAAAATAGTTTTTTTCAAGCGCATCACTTATTTCCCGATACATTTTATTATCAATTACTTTTTGATGTTCTTTTAGAAAATACTGTAATAAGTGATATGTTAGGAATACATGCGGGTATCTACGAAACAAGAAGATTAAACCGATCTTATTGTCATAGCAATTTATTTATGCGAGTACGTTTATTTTCTATTTTCTAGATACCTCAAGAATCAATCTGTAGACTTTTAGTTAGATTTCCGATTATAAAGACTACCACATACTATTTAATTCGTTCTTTACGAAGACATTTTCAACGACCTCTTCCCAGATGTTATTTTTCAATACAAGCATGTTTTATGAGAAATTTTTACCTCAGGTTACAATTAGTTGCTGAAGAACGACACAGTTTTTATACGCCAAGACAATTATGGAATCATTATTTACATTTGTATATCTTACCTAATTCCGTGTTACCGTTTGTTGAAATACTACCTGGTAGTAATCGCATACCCATGGAATTACTGCAAAATTACTTTTATGGTCAACTTTTTCATATTCGATTATATGGGGTTTCTCTTTCGTAGATACATCAAAACTATGTGGATACAGATGCCCTCTATTTGTTTTTTAGCAATTTAAAATTTGAATTATCAAATTCATGGAGAACTTTAATTTAGCTGTTTATTTTCAAGATGTTGATTTTTTAAATTGTGTTCTTTCACTGTATAACATAAACCAATTCATACATTGTTTTTATGATATCCAAGAAAGAGAGCTCCATAGGTATGAGTGGTTGGCTACGACGTGGTCAAGTAATGACTATGAAATTAAATTTTTTACATTTTTAGAATGAATTCCCTTTGGATGATTTCCCTCTGGAGGATCTCGACGAGTTTTTTTTCACACTATGGTGTCTTTTAGATATGGAAGATGATGAAATTGTTGTACTTTTTAACCAATTTCACTTTTTTATGGTTGTGAATCATATTTGTAATGTCACACCAGTCATAAGTTGGGGTTTTGTAGATTATGAGGAAGATGTAGCAGCACCCCTTATAGAAGATTATCTTTGGTTAACTACTAATTACAATTCAAACAACTATAATATTACACATTTTTATTCAACACCCGTAGCGTACTTTTTGTAATTAATAAACTTTTACATGGTTTTACATTTTGTCTCTCTATCTGTAATCTATTTCATGGTAGGCAGAATGGAAACCATCTGCGACTTCTTTATCCCAGTTGGTATAGTAGATACATCTCTGGTTTCCATAGGGGTGGTAAATGTATCGTAAGGCATCGCGAAATACAATGTCATGATGTCTTTCCCTTAGTTTTAATTCCTGTATTTCCAGATCTTTTTCCCTACAAGAATGAACATGTTTCGATGCTTGCTGACGAATCTTGCGTTTTAGATTGGAAATTTTCTTTTGAGCCTTGGATCCTCCCACCCCGGAATTGGATGTAACAACACACTTGCGCGGCCTTTTTTCTTGCTCTGGTCAATATCGAAGTTGTACTCGAGATGGAGAGCAGAGATAACTACGATAGCTAATTTCTCTAGGACTCTCGAGAGCTCTGTCACAGTCCATGGTAATGGAGACTGGCTGAATCTCTAATAATACCTCGGTTTTTATGGCGTAAGCGATACCATTTTAAAGAGTGTTCAAATTCTGTCATAGCCTTGATGTCAGTAACCAACCAAGTAATACATTGGATGTAAGATGATCCACCCACGTGAAACGCGTTGTAAGCAGACACATGTTTTGCATGTACACGTAAAATCGTAGGGATATTGAAAAATAGGCATGTTTATGACTCCTTCTACTTACAACGACGTCACTTTAAATAATAAATCCTAACCCCTAGAGATTCGGACAGCCTTAAGCAATACTAGACAACTCTTGAGCAAGTCCTAGACAAGTTTAGACAACATCTCTCTTGAGATTTAGCTTGGGTGGGCAAGTCTGGGCAGATGACGTCACACGTAACATTTTGTGACGTCTTACACCACATAAGTACCAGCCATAGGACATTTCGTGACATTCATACCACATAAGGACTGGCTCTAAAGCATTGCGCATGCGTACATTTTTAATCAGAAGATTGCACATGCGCATCACACAAATAGGTATCCCACATGGATGATTTTTACGCTACCGTTCCATATATAAATCAAACCTACCCTTATCTTTAATAACAAAGACGGCGGACATGGACACTCGCTCATTAATAATTAATTTTTACCCTCGTGTACCTACACGTCATGAATATAATTATCTAATAACCCTAACACGTGTACCTACATGGCATGAATAAATTATTACTCAAACTCGGACCCAGGCCGCGCGGGAATTGCTAGTCAGACGCGCTATACTACTCTATTCGTCATGACATTTTACAAGTGAGTGAGTTCAGAACACATGTTACTTTGGCTTATAAAGCAAGAAAAGAAACAGAGGTTTTTATTGTTGCTGAAGCCTTCCAAGAGGGTAAACTGGGTTGTTATTTAGATTTCCCCTGAAAAGAGGGTGTGGTGGGGTAGAGGGGAGAAGCAGATGGATATGGCTGGGTATGGATCTTACTCTCCCACCCTTAATAGACCCTTCACAGCACTGGGTAGCAATGCAAAACTGGAGAGCAAACATTCCAATACAGAATAGAAATTTCAGAAGAGGTCATGCACTTGTGCTTGTAAATAATACTTTATGCAGATAAAAGCTTGTACTGGTATTTCTGTTTCTACAAAGCAAGTAAGGTTTATGGTAGAAGTTTTGGATTGGTATGATTTTAAAGTTGGAATCAGCTTTTTTGATGTGAAATCGCAAATACTTTGGTAGCACCAACCTGCTTGATGGCTTATGTGGTGTATTGAGAACAGAGTAAAAGTACTTGTACCCATTTTTGTAATATCACTGTGGGATTACTGAAAGATGTAAAAGTACTGTAATCAAGTAACATGATTGTACCGGCTTATTAGATCAAAGACAGAATACAGAAAACAATTCGAGTGAGTTTGTCATCTAAATGAATAGACAAAAGCTAAAAAACATGGCAACTACTCAAGGTATGTACTTTCAAACTCATCATTCTTCATTCTTGTCTGTAATACCTGGACTTCTCAAGGCTCTAGGAGAAAATTTTATATCCAAAATGACACTTGTGTAGGATTTAACAGCAATTCATGGTCGATTAATGGAGATATTTTTCAAGTAATTGCATGCACCACTGTATGTTTTGTGCTTTGCTTATATCACTCTAAATGTTGATATTGCCAACAAGCCTTTGCTGTGTTCCACTATGCAATGGGGATTCATGCTATCATCATGAATTGAAATTTCACCATTTGCCTGGTCATGAGAAGGATACTAAGTTGAGAGAGGAATGGCTAGTTAAGATTCGAAGAGATAAAAGTCCAGACTTCAAGGTATTTTAAGAGCTTTGTTTAATGATCGAGAAGCAAAGTAGAAACTTTCAAAGTCTTTAAGACCTGTCGGATTTAAGAAATATCCAAGGTGATTCGTATTAAATGGAATTCATTTTGTACCAGTATGAGAGTGTGCTTAAGACACTTTAAAGATGAAGACTACCTTCCACCTACCACATCTGGTTGACAACTGCTCAAAAGGGGAGCTGTTCCTTTTAAGTTTGATTGGTCATCCAACTCCAAATCACAAAGAAAGATAATTCAACATGTGGAAAGGTATTGATCATCAATTGTGAGTATTTCAGTGATGCCATCTTAATAACATTGATTCCTTATGAAAATTTAGCACATCAATTATTATAATGTTCACATGGTTACCTGAAAATATTTTAATAACATTGTTTTACTCTTTTCTTCACAGATACCCAAACAGATGAGAGTAATGATGAGCATTAAAGTCAATCAGAAGTTAGCCCAGCCATTGACAAAATGCAATCAAAAATTCAGTTCATCAAGGCACAGCTACTGGCTTTGCAAGAAAAGCTACAGAAAAGTAGAGATGAAACGAAAGCAGCGCAAGAAGAAGTAGCACCAGTAAAAACCCAAGCGGTAATAGAGATTAAAGAAATAAAAAGGCAAGCAGCTGAACAATTGGCACTAAATAAATTTGGGCTAAAGAGATTTCACACAGATAATGATTCAATAAAATTTTCTACTGACTTTCCCTCTTAAGCACATTTTCAGTTCCTTTTTCAATTTGTACAGCCAAGTGCTGAAATGATGACTTACTGTGATGCTTCTGGAGAAAGAGAGGACAGACTAGCTTCTAGGGATATGTTGCTTGTAGATGAATTGTTTGTGTTTCTTGTTCACCTCAAATTAGGATTATTTGAACAGGACTTAGGTCATAGATTTATGATACATAGGTCTTCATTTTGTAGGATATTGGTAATCTGGAATAGTTTTTTGTATCTTTTGCTTGGAAGTCAAATGATCTGACCTTCAAGAGCTGATGTCAATCGGCATATGCCAGACGGTTTTAAAAAGCTATACCCAAGCACACGGGTGATCTTGGATTGTACTGAAATATTTGTTCAGACTTCAACCTCTTTACTCCTGTAATCACGGCTCTACTCGACTTGTTAGAGTAATACAACATTGAAGGGTTGATTGGAATCACTCCCAATGGAGCCATTTGCTTTGTTTCCAGTTTGTACACAGGGGGCATTAGTGATAAGGAAATCACAAGGTGCAGCGGGATTCTAGACCTTTTAGAACCTGGAGACTCAGTGATGGCTGATAAAGGATTTGACATCAATGATTTACTAAGAGAGCACAATGTACTATTAAATATTCTTCCCTCTCTTGAAAGTCAAGTGCAGTTTTCCCCTCAGGATGATCAAAAAACAAAAACCATTGTCAACCTTAAAATACATGTTAAATGGGCTATTAGAAGGGTCAAAGAATATCACTTCTTTTTGGAAGTTCCTCTATCTACTTTAGGTTCAGTAAATAAATTATTTTCTGTAGCCTGTCTTCTGACAAATTTTCAAGGACCAGTGATATTAACTGATAGTGACAAGCAAAATGAATGAGCTTACTATATGTTGTAGTTTTAAAAAAGCAGTGAAAAGTGTTAAAAATAAAAATTACACAACACTTTATAGAGGTCTATGACTGCTCATTTTACATAACTGTTCAAAGTGTAACAGTACTGACACCAAATTAAACATCTATATGTGTCATTCTACTGAGTCATCTTGGTTTATTGTTAGACTGTAAGCTTGCAATTTACCAGTTTTTATGTAAAAGCTGAATTGACTTACATTTATTGTTGATAGTGTAGCCCTGTACACTTGAAACGAACACCAATACCATTTGATTGTATGCTTGAAGGCTTTGAAAGGCTTTAGATTATTGTTTAGTGTAAAAGCTAATCTCCAGCACAATGTAAAACAGCAGGTCTGGCGATTCCACCACAGGTAAACAATCAGTCTCAAAGTTCTTGCCCTCCATCAAAACTGGGTCGATTCCAGTCGCTGATATTTTCTCAAGATAACGTTGTTTGACCTTATTCTCTAGCCTGTTTGCATAATCATGAGTATGGTTCAGGATACATACGCTCAAGAGTGCAGTTATTATGGCCATGTGATGAATAAAAGGCTCTATTGGGAGTTAATGAAAATGAAAATCTGACCTGTGACTATTTCCTTTTTTAAAAGTAAAGCAAAATGTATCAGCAACCGAGCACAGGAATTAAGACATAGAATAGACCAACTTGATACTATTATCTGCGATAATTTTACTTCCCCTTATATCAATGGGAGTATGACAGACTGAAAACAGAACTTAAATCAATTTTCCAAGAAAAAGGAAAACAGACAATGTTTAGAGCAAAATGCCGCTGGATAGAAAATGGTGAACATCCAATAAAGTTTTTTTCAATCTTGAAAAAATTAATTACAACAAAAAAACTATCAGTGAACTTGGATTACAAGATAACACAAGATGACGCTAGTCTTACCGGTAAATTGAAGTTTGATTGAGATTCTATCACAAAACAGACAGAGTAAGGAGATCTCATGAGATAGCACAACCCATGCACAAGATCATTCTTTAAAGATATGGGTGTGAGAAGGGAATAGCCCCAATTCAACCTATGAATATGACAAATACATAAGAGAAAACCCTAGCGGGAGGGAACAGTTAAGAGGGTGGGCATGTGATCTCCTGACTCTGTCTGTCATGTGATAGAGGTGATGTCTGTCATGTGATGTGACTTACAGGTAGGTCTCATTTAATTTTCCAAACATAACATAAGGCAACCAGATAGATGCCCATTTCCAGTTTTTTTTGTTTGCTAGTTTGGAACTGCAAGCTGCATGGCCACTTTGACTCCATTTCTTGAAGCTCCAACAACACCTAACTAGATTCCAGGATCAGATGGGGCCTCTGTTTTGACATATTTTGTTACCAATGTAGTTGAAGCCTACAACACAGCAATGGACACTATTGTGAATCTTACTGAACAAGAGGAAGAACGTGAGCCCCTTAACCCTTTTTGGACAAGTGGGGTTAAATTCGACCCCTTCAGAAACATACCAGTTTTACCTCCCCTACACAGGTTGTTTTTCGCTTGTTTGAAGCTGCAGTGAAGAAAAACACTGTACAGCGGTTATTCAAGTACAAAAAGCATAGAATCCGCCATTTTTCAGGTGTTGTTGCTCACAAGTTTGATTACTTCTGTGAAAGATCATGGCGTCAAATTATTTCAATACCGATCAAGTTTTAGAGATGGTCTTGGCAGATGGCAGTGATCTGGACGACGAAGACAGTGTAGAAGAAGATTTTGGCGATCTGGAGAGTGAAAGAGATTTGGAAAATTGTTCTGTTTGTTCGCAAGATGGTAGTTTTTCTGAAGGTTCAGTTCAACCTTTGCTGCCATGTGACAGGTCTTAACTGCTAGTGGAGGAGGTAAGAGCCAAAAATTTGGTGTTTATTTTGTCTTATTTCTTAGACCAAGTCTAAAGTTCATTGTTCAAACATTAAGCAAACTTAAATTATTAATAAGCTCGATACAAAGCTGTCTCAGGATCTGCTATCTTGAATGCACTCCTACATTTTACTGTAAAACATCCACGTGACATTTACTTGGGAAAAAGGGTTAAGTCCATGTTTTTTTTTAGGATGATTCAGGCCCTTCAGCCTTGGATGTTACCCTCCAATTTGTGAATGAAAGTGACACAGAAATGGTTGTGCATTCACAGCCAGTTTCTTCAGCCTCAAGAAGAAACTTACTAGCTCCAGCGAGGGCAGCAGCAGTTTGAGTAAGGCCAATAGCTGCTCCCACATGACCAGCAGTAGCTCCAGCAGGGCCACCAGCAGCTCCAGCAAGACCAGCCGCAGCTCCAGGTTATAACTTTGTCTGGAGAAATTTTCGTGGCATTGAAGAAAACCCAAATGGAGAAAAACATTTTCTTGGAGATACTGGGCCATCAAGAGAAGAAAATGCTGCTAATTCTAAGACTGAACACTTCAACCTTTTCATTGATTAGAATGTAATACATAGTTTCTGCCTGGAAGCTAACAGGTATGCAAATCAGTATGGAGTTGCTGGTTTTCAAGATGTCGTGCCAGAGGAAATGATGGCATTTGTAGCCATGAACATTGCAATGGGTACTTTAAATACCTCAGATGTAAAGACTTTTGGTCTACAGACCCAGTTCTTTCACATCCTTAGTTCCCTTCAGTAATGAGCAGAGACAGATTTTTGCAAATTCTTTACCACGTTCATCTAAACAACAATCAAAACGACCCTGGAAATGATAAACTTTTCAAAGTAAGGCCACTGCCATCATAAGGCAATGCAAGAAACATTAGAAGCCTAACTGTGAAGTCTCAATTGCTGAGCAAATGATTGGCACAAAAAGTAGGATAAGCTTCCGTCAATACATGCCCATGAAACCTATTGCCAAGTGGAGAATATAGGAGTGGGTTATGGCAGATGTATTGTCAGGGTACTGTTGCTACCTTCAAATCTACACTGGCAAGGAAGGAAACAATGGAGAGAAGGGCTTGGCAAGCAGAGTTGTAAAAGATCTCATGGAAAATTATCAGGGGCTAGGGGGATCTTCTTTATATAGACAACTTTTACCTCACCTCTCCTCAACTATTCAAAGATCATTTGGAGGCTGGAACCCTTGCATGTGGGACAATAAGAAGTAACAGAAAGGGTTTTCCTGCAGTGATCAAAGATAATGTTGATCAGAATGACTCATTATTTTGCAAAGCAGACATGACAGAGGGGTTCATCACAGCAGTACACTGGAAAGACAAAAGGGATATTTTTGCACTGACTACCATCCATGGCAATGCTGTTGGTGATGACATTCCTCATAAACCAGAAACTGATCTGTGAATACAACAAATACACGGGTGGCATTGACCACAATGATCAGCTGCTGGTCTACTTTGCCATTGGGTGAAAACCTTTGAAGTGGTGGAAGCATGTGTTTTGGCGGCTACTCAATATTGTGTTGGTCAACAGCCACCTGCTCTATGAACTTAAACCTGACAAGAATCAGTTACCCAGAAGCAGTTCAAGCTCAATTTATGCCATTCTCTGGTTCAGCCACTATTTATGTCGAGAGAAAATCTGGGTGCAAGAGTTGTCAGGGAGCCTGGTTCCTGGCTCCAGTTCCTTGTGACTGTTTAATAGGAAAGCATTTTGGGCAAAGGGCTGGCAAGAGGAAGAGATGTAAAGTTTGTGCTTACACCAAAAATGCAAAAGGAAATCTAAAGCATACGAAAACTAATTTCTACTGTGCAAAGTGTGATGCACACCTTTGTGAACAGCCATGTTTTCAAAAGTGGCACTCCCAATCCAGCCTTTGATAGGTTTACCAGCTTCTCTTTTAGCCAAATATCTCAAACAGTGGCCTTCTTATGCAGAACAGCAATGCTTTCATGCACTTTTTTCCAGGGAGAATACAGTTAGAGTTGTTTAAGTAAAGAAAACATTGTTCACTAATTCAAAATATATTTTAACTTTTTTTGGAAATTCTGAGATCCCGGAGTATATTTGAAAATCATATTATTTTGATGGAGAAAGCATCAGTTGGCTTAATAGTTGTGCATTATGAATAGCTTGTAAGACATCTTGAGAAAATTTATCTAAACCTAGAAATTCTGATTTTAATTTGCATAAATTATGTATGATTGTTGGTTACCATGGAGATTTACATTAATTATTTGTTTACTTTACTAATGCTCAGAATTTAGTAACCTCTCTAACCATATATAACATGTATATATTACTGTAAAGTAGTCTTGTATAAAATCATTTTATTCTGTAGTCCCTTGAACCATTTTTTTCTCTCCAAAAATATTCAATCTGAGGATTAAATCTCAATTAAAAACTGCCTTGCAAAATCTGAGCAAAGGGGAACAGCTGAATGTAGTGCAGAGGGCAAAAGAGGACTGTTCACTTGCGCATAGCGTAATTTCGCTAGGAAACAGAGAAGATCTGTTTCAATTGATGGTGTCTGTCAAAAAAGAGAAGTGTTAGAGCCCAGTCCCAGATAATGCTGTGGTCCTCATGAGCCCTTATAAGTATGCAAAAACCAGACATTTTAAGAGGCAGATTCTTAATCGTTGCATTTATAGATACCCTATGAACCAGCTTGAAAAAATTCATCTGCCCTAAGGAGAATTATCTACCTGGGAAATAAGGCAGGCACATTCTCATGCTAATAGACTATCCCTGAAACGTTGACAAAGCATCGTGTACACCTTGATATGGGAAAAGTTGATTACTTTGTAGATTTTGGGAATAGATCTTATTTTTATCAGGTAATTTCTTATGGCAGCAAAATACCTGTCCTAGTTAATTGAAAGCTGATGTCATACGCTCATATTTTTGACTCCTGCCAGTAGGACTAGTATGCAGTTTGTTCCATTACTGAGAACGCACTGGAGGTTATATAGAACAAACACCCCCAAATTGGTGAAATTTACTCATGGAGAAACGAAGTAGGATGTTACCACGACAACTTTATCTTGGCAGCCGCTAGGGATGCAGGGAGACAAGTTGGTATTTCAGTTATGCAGTATGACTTTTCTGATCCCCAGTGTGTGAAAGATGTCTGTGATAGGATTCTTTGCCCAATCAAGTAATTAATCCAATGATACTGCAATGAGGGACATGATATAGTTTCTGCAAAAGACATGCATCCCGTTAGAGGTACGACTGCCCTCATTTCCTCAACAAAGTAGACTAAAAAAACACGAAGCACAAAAGATAGAGGGTTTAGTGAATATGACAACTTTAAGTTTGAGGGGGAAGGAATGCAAATATGAAGAGCTTATGGTATTGGGCAGGGTGGGCTGATTCCTTAACAAGATTTAATCATAACGCCTCAGGGTCCTACAAGACTCTTTGTAAATGAGAACTCCTTCCTGCTGAAGGTGGCTCAGCTCCATAAGGCAACTACAAATGGTGAAAAATCAAATGGTCTTTTCAATTGTTCTGAGCCAGGCTGCAACATGGTGGTTAAAAAATGCAGTGAACTAGGGAGTCACCTTGATGTTGGCAAGCTCTGCCAAATTTGTCGAAAATATGATACACTTTATGACAGACTTAAAAGAGACTGGGTGAAGAAATACCTTATTGTTGACAAAGTGGATATTGACAGTGCACCCTAAGAATCTGGTGATGAACAACAGCACGAGCATAAAGCAAGTAGTAATAGCAGTGATCTGCAGCTTAGTTGGGCACTGCATAAGCCAAGAAGTGAAGCTGTACATTTCACTTGTGAGGTTAAGCAGTACTGGACAGCAAAATTTGATCTGGGAGAGAGAACTGGCATCAAGGCAGATCCCAGAAAAGTGGCCACATGTATGAGAGTGGCAAGAAACCCAGATAGCTCCTGGATGTTTGAAAGGAAGGACTGGCCAACTAAGACTCAGGTGCAGGGATTTTTTTGAGATTGGCAACTGCAAGAAGGAGACAAGGAAGCCAAGAAGTTGAGATGGAGGACGTTTATGCAGAGGAGGAGGAGCAACAAAGACATGAGGTATTGGAAAATGTGGCCAGCTAGCTTGGTCTTCAGCACCCCATTTGCTATGACTCTTACTGCTTGTGTGACCTCTTGCATGATAGAAAACTTAAAACTTTCAGTGTGGTGACGGTGAAGCAAATGCTTAAATACTTTGCTATTCCTTATGGTTCCCGAAATAGAAAAACCACTCAGGTAACTGAACTTTTAACATTGCTAGAGGGATGTGACTGTCACTGATAGGATAACACTGTAAATTTTTTTAGATGAGAGACTGAGAAGATGCTGCTAACTGAGTGTTACAGTTGATACACTGTAATCACTAGATATTGATTTGCTACAAGTTTGGTTCGTTTGTTAAACCGCAACTAAAGCAACATTGTTAAGTTCCACCCAGAACTGCATTTTAGTCAGTTGTCTTTGCTTGGGCAAATGATAAGTCATGTTTATTGTAAGAGTGTATTGCCCACCTTATCTTGAAGTTAGTTTGGTTAAACTCTTACAAGCAGAATTATTATCTAAGTGCCTACATTCTTTTTATTTGTGCTTGTCTAAATATTTAGCCTTTGGTAGTTTCACCCAGATTGTACGAGTTTTTCATCACACATTCTAGCAACTTTGTGAATTTAGTTCATTTTGTTCACATTAGATCACAATGCTACATGATTTACCCACTTGGCTATTAGTTTCTGTTAGAGTTAGTTTTTAAGTAGTTCTCCTGTAAACTTTTAAAGACTTAGTTTTTTTTGTGTTTGATTTCTGGTCTTGCTATAACTTGTGTCGTTGTATCCCAATGGAAAATGAAATATTTTAAAGATCAACAAAAGATGCAAAGGATCATAATCGTAACCAGACAGGGGGCAATAGGAAAACCTTGTCATTTTATAACAAAATAGATTCTGTTCTGGGGTGCAGAGAAATCATGACCTTTAGTCATGTCAAAGAATCTAGGTCAATCACTTCCCCACGTTCTTCCAATTTTGTCAAAAAGCATCATAGAAAAGGATGAGGAGGAAGCCACTCTGGATGAACAGTTTGAGCACTCTTTAGCAGTGTTTGGATTAAATAAAAAGAGGGAGAAGAAGAGTCAACAGAGGGATGAGAGAAAGCATGCCAAAACTTACACATGATGAGGAAGAATCAGCCCTTTTCTTTGAAAGCGTGGAAACTCTTAAGAGCCAAAGAGAGAAATTTATTGGAGTGATGGAGGCCATGGAGAAAAACCATGGTTACAACTCCAGCTTATGAACCAATTTTTGAACACTTTCCCATGAACCCCTTTATGAACACTCTCACGCAGGCAATGTATTCAAAAGATGATCAATAACTCTTGAAATATTATTTCTGAACACTACATGTAGCCTACAGTTATGTTATAATCAAAAGCACATTTATTTTTGTACCTGAGGAGAATATATATAGAATGGACAAGGTAGAGATTAAAACAAGTTTCATTTTTATTCCAATATTGTTACTGTTAGATATTGTCATTTGTACTATTGCTCCATATTAGCCCATCACATGTGACATTTTCATAATTTTTCTTTAATTTCCTTGATCAGAAATTAATGTTGTTACATGTAGTTAATTCACTATTAATACACTAAATTATTCATTATAACAATAAATCTTCTGACTCATTTTCTGTATTGCTAAATTACCATTTTTGTACATGAATCTCCATTGATTAATTAACTTCAATCCTGGAGACACTATTAAATAATTAAATGATGTTATTGTATAAACTGAGAAACTGGAACCGTCTTATAGTCAGATGTGTAAATCAAATGAGGCCAGGTATGCTATGATGATTTAGTTTCCCAAGCTTTCCCTGATCTACAGCATCATCAGGGAATGTAGATGGAGTCTTTGAAGTGAAGAGTATATCAGCGAGGTGTTAGGCTAGATAATAGGGGTTATATGGAAAGGATTGAAATAATTTTTTGCCATCTTAAAGACAGAAACAACTACAATGCCAACTCACAAACTACGTCCACCAACTTGCATTCCAATGAACATTTACAAAAGAAAGTTCTGGTCACTGACCTCACTCACTCACTTGCTCAACACACAAGAGATAGCGCTTCTGTCAAAAGGTCCCAAGTTCTGCCTTGCACCCACTGTAAACAAACACACCAGCAAGAGTACAAACATCACGAGTGAGTTTGCCCTTCAAAGGTCAAACATCAACTAATGCAGTTAAAAAGCAAATGCGTGATCTCAGTCAAAAGATTAGAACTACACTGCAACACGTGTTTATCAGCAGAAAATTGGAACAAGACCTCAAGCCCAGAGAAATTAAGCCTCCAATTATAAACCAACAATGCGTTGTTTACTCTTTAACATGTGATGTGCAATTCAGATGATGTCAGCTTTACAGCTTGACACCTCCATCAATATATTGTTGAACATAAAAACTCTGCGATCGGTAAACATTTTTTGACAGCCCATGGGGATACAAGCCTCCTCAAAAAAAGTCAATTATGTATTCTAGAAAAGTCCCAGGGAAAATTTGACTGTCTTGTCTATGATATGCTTCTCAGCAAGCAGTGCAATCCTTGCCTCAACATGCAGACTGATTCTATTTGTGCAAAACTATTTGTTTAAAAGAACATTCCGTTACCTATTGTCTTTTTTAACCAATCGTTCTCAGTGTTTGTGTTAATGGGATAGTTTCAGAGCCTCAAAAAATCGATTTTGGAGTCCCCCAAGGTAGCACTTTAGGGCCCTTGCTCTTCATAATGTATATTAATGACATATCTCATGTCATTAGATATTCTAATGTTGAGCAATATGCTGATGATACGCTTCTTTACTTTGCTAGTGATGATGTTAATATAATTGAGTCCAATCTGTCATCTGATTTAGATGGTGTTACTCAGTGGCTTAGTGCTAATTACCTAATATTTAACTCTACCAAATCTAAAATAATGCTTGTGGGTACCCATCAAAGGCTTGCCTCTAAGTCATTCTCCATATCATCTGACGGCCAAGACTTAGAGAGATCAGAAAAGTTTAAATATCTAGGGGTTTTTATGGACCCAACACTTTCTTGGAAGTCTTACATTAATTACTTGGGAAAGAAGATCTCGTCTAGATTAGGAATGTTGCGTAGAGCACGAAAGATCTTGCCTCAGTCATCCTGTATCATTTTGTACAACACAATGATATTCCTCCTTTTTGACTATCGCTCAGTTGTATGGGATAGTTGTGGGGCTATATCTAAAGGGTATCTTGATAAGCTTAATGGGCATGCGGTGAGTATTATCTTAAATAGGGCTGTGAGTGAAACATATATTGTTCATATTCTCGGTTGGCCTAGCCTTCAGTCTCGTAGAGACTATCTTAAATGCATGCTGGTTTTCAAATCTATGAATGGCTTAGCACCCCCCAACCTATTGAGTGATTTTACTCAAGCTAAGAAATATCATACATATTATACCAGGCACAGGGATTTGATTCGTCTTCCTTTGGCCAAAAGCACTAAATATCAAGGCAGTTTTAGATATAATGGTGGGTGCACTTTTAATAATCTGCCCAAAGCAATAAGATCACTGGAAAGCCTTAAAACTTTTAAAACTGACTGCAAGAGGTTTTTTAAACAGATTTAATCAGTTAATATGTAGACTTTGTATGTATTTTCTCTAATGAGTTTTACTTTTGTCTGTCAATTTTATGTGTAACTTTGTATTGTCAAATTTTGTTTTGCAGGGCTCTCTTTAAACTAGCTATGCAAATTGTGATGTCCCTGTTTAAATATTGATTAAATAAATAAATGACTATATTGATTTTCTGCACTGTTTGTTCTAAATATTTCTACTGCATTTACATACCTGCCACTGTCCTCTCCTATTGTCTACGGAACCCCTATTGCTGTAATCTTTGTAACCAATAGAATAAGTACCATATGTTCATTAGTACCAGATATATAAGTATAATATAATACCATATGATATAAGTACCATATGTTAATTAGTGTTGCTGTTTTATTGGTGTCATCAATTAGTCCATCGATGCTAAACTGCAAAGGGCAATGTCAAGGAACTGCTGGTGGACCTTACCTTACTGAAGCCCTTGAGCAATGATAGGCAATGGCAGTTCAGTGGTTACAAATACAAGGTAATATGTATTCTGAAATAGTATGATACTTTGGAGCCTGAATACATCTATGTGGGGAACCAGCTGAAAGCTGTATCGAATGTCAAGGATATTCGTATTCACATCACATCAAATATATCATGGAACCTGCAAACAAGGCAAACAGTATGCTCCAATTTATAAGTCAAACAATGGGCCCCAGGAACCCTGAATTGTTCTTAAAATTGTACTTGAGTTTAGTAAGTCCAATACTCAAGTATGGCTCTCTCTTAGAGAAACTGCAAAGTAGAGCATATAGATATGCCTCAAGAAACATTAGCCGAGATATGTCAATGAAGAGCACTTAAAGTTCCTTAAATGGCCAACTTTAGACAGTTAACATTCTAAATAGGCTACACTCAGTTGAGTATTTTACATTTGTACATGATCCTCACCATTATGAGCTAACCATCGCCATAAACTTAAACCATTACCCACAAAGCTATATAGTTTTAGGTACTCTTTTCTTTATAAATGTAGTGAATGAATGGAATAATTTACCAAAAGATGTTGCAGAGGCAGAAACTATGAACATTTTCAAGAACAGACTCAGATGCCATTTTACTAATCAGGGTTCTCAGTAAAAGCCAGCAACCAGAGGAAATCTACCTATTGTGAGCATGAAGGTAGCTGCTTGTTGAGGCAATGTAATTTTCATTTAAAAATAAATAATCAAAACATATGATTGTAAACTTGCATCAGAGAGGATAAAATTTACAGAAAAACATTGTTCCTTGTGTATATCAATGAGCTAACTACTGCTATTTAAAACTCTAAGGTACCATTGTATGCTGACAATACTGTTCTTTGCTTTGCAAAAGAACCTTGCAAGCTAGAGAGCAAGTTGAATGCAGATCTCTACAACACAACATTCTGTCTAAAGGCAAACAGACTCACTTTGAACCTTTCTAAAACCAAATCTATGTTGCTTGGAAGTAATAGAAAGTTATTTAATATTTCCTTATTGTCCCTTTCTATTTTTGATTGCGAGTTAGATTGCATAAATAGGTTTAAATATTAAACATGGTCAGATCATGTAGAGAGTGAAATTTCTAAATTTAATCAATGGCTCAGTCTTTCACAAACCTACTTGGACAAAACATCTAACAGAATTAAAGAACAACTTTGAAAAATAAATCAAACTTATTGAAAAAGTGTTCTTTCTAAAGAGAAAATCTCTTCTCTACCAATGTAAGGTGATTCTCCCTTCTATAACATATGTGTAATGACACCTGTGTGTCTTAATTTCCACGGTATTTTTTGATGTTTTCCAGCTTTCACCGCATTCTGCGTCACAATGACATTCCACCAATTTTTGCATGACCATAGCTTGAATATTGCAAAAATTTGTGTAATTTTTGATAAGGCACACAGAAATTTTATGGGTAACATTGGGTCCAGTCAGAGAACCTCCAATTATTACTGCTTAACTCAAAACGTACTAGAGCATTCGGCCAACACATCCTACCAAACAGGATCGCTGTAACAGTCAACACAATAAACCTAGCCTTGTGGAATATGCAAGCCTTTTACTTCCTTAAGTTCATGGAGCTCTCTGCCATCGGAGCTGATGCCACTACAATATGGCATCTCCATCTGGATTACATCAAATACCCACAGGCACAACAGTGTTGAGCTGGAAGGCTAATTATCAATTTGCCACAGGATACAACATCAGAAGCAGTTGTGGATCTCACTCTATGGGGCTTGATTGCCGTATTGTGGAATTTTGTTTCAGACTATTTTAATGACTCTTTCAGCAATTTTATAGAAAAGTGAAATCTGATCCCACATGCAGGGAAATCAGATGTACTAGCCTATCCACACTAGTTACACATGACCCCTTAAGCATGTAATGCAAACACTCAGCGGTGATTTTTTGAAATTGCCCAAATAATAGGCAGATTAACTGTTGGAAAAGTGAGACAACATGAACTTCAACAGTCAGTACTCAATTGTTGGGACTGCCATTTTGAATTGTGTTAGTATTCATTTAAACGTCGATTGAGATTTGGCAATATCTAGGATCAACTACTACAGCAATTCAACAGCATGCTTAAACTACGAGTATTTACGATTGTGTGGAGACAAATCCCAATGCAGGACCTACTTCAAGAAAAGCTTATGTCAAGTGTTTGTTGTGCCTAAAGGCAATACATGAACTTGAAGCATATAGAGCATTTTCACTCATGTGACCAAATTTCTTTATCATCATGGTAACCGACTTCATCTGACATGTTGGTGTTCCGTGATAACCAGCAGTGAGTATTGTGACAGGAAACAATTGGAGCAGATGTTACAGTTTTGAGAAGATGTTAGTGTAACATTTATATTGTCTTTGTCATGGATCATGGTCCTTTGCCTTGTCATTAGCTGTGGGAACAAAACAGGGAAGAAAAGGTCTAACGTTGAAAAAGTAAGGTTTTTTTGGTGTCCCATGTGTTATAGTCAATCAAGGAGAGTGCACTGAAGAACTTACTTCTGAGTGAAGAAGAATGTGGATCTCTGCAATAAGTAGAGATGACTTACCTGATGATATTTTAGAACGTGATGGGTCTGCAGCCAGCACTTTGTTTCAGGAGAAGCTGCAAAAGATTGGAATCAATTCAATGTAGACTGGGTCCCTACCCTCCATCTTGGGCATTCAAAACAGCATGTAAAGGATCCTGAAGAAGCAGCTGCTCGAGCACAGAGAGCTGCCAACAGATGCAAATGTCAAGCAGAGATCGCAGAAAAGGAGGTGGAAGAGAAAGTGAAACAAGTGGATGATACATGGGAAACAGCCGATGAGATATTCTACAAGGCCAAGCTTGAGGCCAATGCTTTGAATGTTGATAATACAGGAGAAACAGCTCGTGAGATATTCTACAAGGCTGAGCCCAAGACCAAGGCTTTGAATGTTGATGACAAAGATCCAGAAACCAGGGAAGAATTAACCAACAGTCATGACCAGAATACAATGAATGCTGAAACTCAAACCACAGCATTAAGGGTAAAAATTGCCCAAAATGCTGAAACTCAAACTCAATTTGAATATTTATTTAAGCAAGCTGTTCTGCAACCTTTTACTGAGGAATATTTTGTTAATCATGATGACAGAGTGAGGTTTTACATTGGTTTTCCAGGTTTTGATGTGCTCAAAGCAACTTTTCCTTTCATCAGTCCGTTTGTCACTCAAAGGAGTAAAAGCTTGTCTTTGTTTCAAGAATTTATTATGGTATTAATGAAATTAAAATTGAATGTTCTTCTGCAAGACCTTGCATATAGGTTTGGCATTTCTCTTACTACTGTTTCAAGAAACTTCTCCACCCAGTTAACAGTGATGGATATCAGGCTTTCCCCATCATCAGATGGCCTGAACGAGATGAGCTCTGGCACACGATGCCTATCTGTTTTCAGTTCTCACTTGGCGAAAAAACCATTATTATTGACTGTTTTGAGGTCTTCATAGAACAACCTTCTAATCTTCTAGCAAGAGCACAAACATTTTCTAACTATAAACAATACAATACTGTCAAGGTGCTCATCCCAATTACACCTGAAGGATATTTGTTTTACTTCCAAAGCATGAGGAAGGACCTCTGATAAATACTCAACTGATGTGGTTTATTGAACCACTTGAAGCCACCATTCAGGAGAGCATTGCACTCTACCAGGCGCACTTAGTTATTCCTGCCTTCACTGGAGGAAAGAGTCAACTTGATCCACTTGATGTGGAATGAACACAAGGAATTGTGAATGTGCGAATACATGTCGAGCATGTTATTGGACTCCTGAGGCAAAAGTATTCTATTCTGGAAAAAAAAGTGGAAAAATTCCACTTATTGACAGGATGATCAGGGTTTGTGCAGCCCTTACAAATCTTTCCCCATCTGTTGTTCCCTTTGAATAAACTCATCAGCTTCTAGAAGACATTTATATCTTTGCAAACATTAGTGAGAGAGAATTGATATTTAATACTCTGACAAAGTTATGTATGGTATTGTATTGCATTGGCTTCACACTGCAATAATACATCACAAAAGCATACCAATGTAGCATGACGTGAAACAATACAAAATTTAGCCGTGTCATGCATAAATTCTTTTCCTTGAGTTTCAGCATTCTGCATCTTTGTTGTCAATATTCAAAGCCTTGGCCTCGGGCTTGAGCTGTTTCCACTGAATCATCCAATCATTTCACTTTCTCTTCTAACCCTTTGTCTTCCAGCCCTAATTATTCATAAATTAGGGCTGGGAAACAAATGAAAGGGAGAATCAACCTTAGTTAAATCCAAATTAACCTAAAATAAAATTTGACCTGTAGCAGATATGTTTGTTCATATTGTATACAGCTCTCCCGAATTTCTTATTTGCACACACTGTATACAGTTTTTCCTAATTTATTTTTTCTCAACATTCCGGTTTTTTACATCTCCAATTAATTAATTTATTTATTTATTATTTTTAAACTTGTTTTAGCGTCCCCTCTTAGTGGTTCTACACTACTAGTACAGTTTGACACTTGAATAAAGAATAACAAATGGATTGTTCATAACAAATGGATTGTTCATAACAAATGGATTGTTCATTCTTTGTGAATGTCGGACTTTCCCAGACACTATGTATTTGTTGCCTATTTTTTATCCTTTAATGCTACTTACAAACCCTGAAACCAATTGGTTATAAGTCTGCAAACTTCTATAAGCCTTAAATTGGTTTTTACTATAATAACCTATAATAATCTGACATTTTTTCATGTGGGGATCGAGCATGTTTGCATGATCTGAGAGAGGATATCCTGCCATGTTTGAAAATGTGGAACACCAATATGGCAACATCATGTGAAAACACTCTACAAGTGCTGTATTTATGGCTTGCTATAACACAAGAGGCGTGGAGGAAATACAAGTAGCGGCACTCTTGATAAGTGTTATTTCATGTGTGCTAGCTGTTTGTTTCATCAGCAGAATTTTCCTTTCATGAATACTATAATCATTGCCGAAAGTTTGAGGGAAAATTCAGTTTGCATAGATAACAGTATGGTCGGTGAGACAACAGAATTAAACGTACTTGAGACAGCTTGACAAGAAAATCCTAGAGACTTCCTTCTGAGCCACTTAAACATCAACAGTATACAGAACAAGTTCAAAGAGTTAAGGCATATAGTTATGGAATCAAAAGTACAGATCATGGCAGTCAGTGAAACCAAAATTGATGCTTCATATACCGACTCTCAATTTCATATACCTGGGTACCACCTTCATCACCTAGATAGGAAGAAAGGCAGTGGCAGAGTCTTCATGCTTGGTACGTCAAAAATGGAGTCAGTGAGAGTTAAGATTGACAGAAGGTACAAAAAAATTGAAATCATAGCTCTTCAATTTGTCTTGAAAACAAAAAACTCATACTACTCGCCATCTACAGGCCACCAAAGAAAGTTACCACACACTACCAGCTACTTCTGGAAGAGGAATTAAGTAACATTTCTAACTAGGTTATACTCCAACATCAGTTTATTGTCATAATCGGTCATCTTAACCTGAATAGGTTGAATCCAGATAGCGCTGAGAGAAAAACACTACTTAATCCTGAAATTGAACAAGGACTTGAGTGCCCAATCAACTCGCCAACTAGAGTTCAAATGCAACGAGCACATGTCACACAGAGTCTAGTTGCTGTCATCCTAACGAGTCAAAGAGAACTGTTCAGCGATTGTGGAACGTACAATCCTGAAATAGGTGATCATGCACTTATTTATGGGTCTATAAAGGAAAATTTAAACCTCGGAAAGGCAGGATTATCAAATTTAGATCCAAGAGGAATTTTGACAAGGAACACTACAAGGAGGACCTTTGTTATGCTCCATGGCATGTTGGCAACACTTTCGATACAGTTGATGATAAAGCTGGTTTCTGGGAAGCACTTATAGCTAGTATAGTGGACAAACATTAACCAGTAAAGAAAATGAGGTGTAGACCCAAGATGTTCCATCCATGTCTCATGAATAGAATAAGGGCCAGAAGAAGAGCCATAAGAAAATATTAAAAGGAGCAAATAAGGGAAGACTGGGAAAATAAAAGTGAACTGCGAAACAAGGCAACTAGACTTAGAAGAAAGGAAATTAGGGAATACAGAAAAACTTTCATGTCCTTAATAAACACAAAGAAGAAAAAGGGGACAACGACCAACTGATGATGGACAGAAGCATTTGACATGATTAGTCTATGATTGCAAATCATTTCTGTAATTGCTTTACCAATATTGCCCATGGAATAGGAAATACTGATGGCACAAGTGATGACTCTTTTGCTACACATGCAAGTGTGCAGAGTATCATTAACAAGTCAACTGGCACTGATAACATCCAGTTTCAGAGAGTAAACAGAGGTGAGGTGGAAACCACCCTGCAAGGCCTTAATACCAGGAAGGTGATGGCAGAATCCCGTCAATGGCCTTAAAAATTGGCACAAGCAAGTTGTCAACACTGCTGACCACACTATATAATGCTTGTATCTCCAGGTGTGAATGGCCTGCAATGTGAAAGAGAGGTGACTGGGTCCCAGTTTTTAAGAAGGATAACCCTCAACTAAAGGAGAAATATCCTCCAATAACTGTGCAAGTTACAGTAAATAAGGTCTTTGAACAACTACTCGGTAAATAATTAAGCCACTGATATGAGTAAGGCCTTTAACTCCTTGTACCACCTATGTTAGCAAAACTTAAAGCTTATGGTGTAAGTGAAAATAGTGTCTAACTAATTGACTCTTATTGCACAGACCGTCACTGTAGAGTTAAATTGGGTTCAGTAACAAGTGGGAAAAGGTGTCCAGGGGATGCCCTCAGGGATCAGCATTTGAGTCACTCCTGCAGAACATTCACCAGAATGATCTTATTTACGATATTACCATAAACCTTAACATGTATGCAGATGATCATCAGTTTTATGCTATGAGCAGTCACATAGAGATTGTTAATGATAGTCTCACACAAAGTGCTATAGATGTTTCAGAGTGGTATACTTTCAACTTCCTTAAAGGCAACATTGATAAGTATAGAGTCCTCATGCTTGGTAGCAAACTGGACAGCAATATCAATATCATCATCGATGACGATAAAGCTGTAACATCTATTGACTGCTTAGAATTACTTGGGATGTCTATAGATAGGCGCATTCGTTTTGATGAGCACATAAGTATAATCTACAAGAAAAGTAGTGAGCGTGTAGGAGTCCTGATGCAACTCAGAAACTTAATATCCACTGGTACCAAACTACAACTATTTAAAGCTGCTATTCTTCCCTATGTAACTTATTTGCACCTTGCTTGGCACTTCGAGCTTGCTAGCAACAGTAGAAAATCAGAGCATGTACAAGAAAGGGCATTCAGAGCTATTTACTGTGACAGACCATCAAGTTATAATAAATTACTGAATACAGCTAATCTATGCACCCTGTGTCAGACAGTTACAGGATATAGCTGTTCTCGTGTACAGTAATAACGATAAGCTTTATTTGAAATGCAAAATAATGGATCAGATAGACTAAAAAGACTATCTGGTATGTGCATATATAGTCTAAAATCTTTATATAATAAAATTATAATAAATACATAAAAAATGACTAAAAATATCATGATACAAAATAGTAAAAATAAGAAACTATAAGAATAAATAAATTATAACATAGTCCTTAAAGTATATACAACATATTTTCTATGAACATTGTATTAATTAAAAAAAATAATAATTCAACTAGTCAGTTAAGCCAAAGAGCATTTATGTTGATTGTGATCCTCTTGTAGTAAAAATTCAAAGAGTTTACTTTTAAAGGTGCTGAGATTTGCTATAGTTCTGATATCCCTAGGCAGAGAGTTCCAGTCTCTTACAGCAGCGAATTCAAAGGTTTTTCACCAAAACCCGACTTAGCATTAGGAACATTCGGTAAAGAGTCATCTCTCAAAGAGCAAGAGCGAATACTAGCAAGTTTTATAAGTTTGTCTTGGAGTTGCTTTGGACAGTTAATATCATTCACTATTTTAAATGTAGTTATAAATCAAAGCAAGCGTCTACGGTTGAATAGAGTCAGGATCTTTACTTGGTCCCTTAAAACTTGTGAACATGTTCTCCTATTCTTGCAGAAAATAATTCTTAAAGCTTGATATTGAAGTCTCTCCAACTTGTTAGACAATTTATTTGGACAGTCCATCCATACAATACTAGCATAATCCAGAATAGGAAGGATTGTAGCCTTGTAGATCTTAATTAATACATCAGACCAGAGGAAACAAGATAGCCGGTTTAACAGCCTCAGTTTGGGATAAGTTCGTTTGCAAATATAACCAATGTGAGGTGACCAATTTAGTGAACTGTCTACAAACACTCTGAGGTACTTAAAATATACTTCTTTAAGTTTGTGGTCATTTTGTTTGATTTCAGTACCACCTGCTTTTTCTGAAAGCTTGTTTAGTTCCAATCTTCATGGCCTCTGATTTAACGGGGTGGACTACCATCTCATTGTTAGATAGCCAATCACTGATATCTTTTAAATCAGAGTTCAAAATTTGTGCAGCCGCTTCTACTTTGGAATGGGCTGTATGAATTTTGGTATCATCAGCAAATAAAGAGGCATCTTTATTTTTACACGATTTAACAATATCATTGTAGCGTATAGAAAATAAATTTGGACCCAATACACTACCTTGGGGTACACCATGATCTAACATAAGTCTCAGATTGTGCACCATTCAAGGTGACAAATTGCTTCCTATCCAGAAGATAATTTTCTAACCATAAACCACTATGGCCTTCAATACAAGCAGCTTTAAGCTTTGACAAAAGGATTTCGTGGTTTATTATGTTGAAAGCTTTTTGGAGATTCAAAAATGCAGCAATGTTAATCTGTTTCTTGTCTCTGGCCCAT